CAGGAGGAGTGTCCACAGAACAAGCAAACTGAGGAGATGAGGGCAAGGATTATAGGCAAGCCCCTGGGCCTGAGAGCACAAGCAGCGGCGAGAGTTGCAGAGCTGGGGTGGGTGATGGAGGTAATGATTCGTAAGCAGTGTTGGAACCCAGCCCCTAGTGAGCAAAGTGACAGAAGCTGCCCCAGAGTTTGGGAGGAAGATAGAGGCAAAAGATGTAGAAGGAAGCTGTAGGGGTGGGAGTGATGCCTCAGGAGCAAAACTGAGGAATTCCCTAACGGAGCCAGTCCCTGGGAAAAGAGGCTCCCCTAAGGCTCTTCTTGTCTAGCCCCACACCTGGTGGAGCCCAGTACCCAGCCTCGCCCCACACCTGGTGGAGAGGCCCTGTTGATTACACGCTGTCAGCATCCTCAAACCCAGCACTAATTGCACAATTTTCCTCTCTTCTAGTGAGCAAGAGCCTGAGGAAGTAGCAGAAAGGGATGTGGGCCCATGTGCAGTTCTGGGACCCTGGCACCTTGGCTCAGGGAAGACCTGAGCTCCTTTCACTGCTGACCCTCTCCAGGGACTGGGGAGAGGGCTCCGGAGAACCTGGTTCTTGCTTACTGTTCTCCCTTTGGGCCCTCCTTCCCAAGTGCAAACAATCCTGGTCCATTCAGCATCAGGCCCAATGGAAATAGTGAAGCAGTGATTATCCCTCCCCTGCCTCTCCATAGCCTGGTCTTTGCCCTCTTCTTTGCTCTTCTCTTCCCCCATAGCCACCTCAAATACTTGCAGCCTGATATCTTCATTCCCCTTCATCCAGACCTTTTCTCTCCTAGTGGTATTGCAAATTGAAAGTGGACAAAGACGCCAGGCGCGGTGGCTCAAGCCTGTAATCCTAGCACTTTGGGAGGCTGAGGCGGGTGGATCACGCGGTCAGGAGATCGAGACCATCCTGGCTAACCCGGTGAAACCCCGTCTCTACTAAAAAATACAAAAAACTAGCTGGGCGAGGTGGCGGGCGCCTGTAGTCCCAGCTACTCGGGAGGCTGAGGCAGGAGAATGGCGTAAACCCGGGAGGCGGAGCTTGCAGTGAGCCAAGATCGCGCCACTGCACTCCAGCCTTGGCCACAGAGCGAGACTCCGTCTCAAAAAAAAAAAAAAAAAAAAAAAGACAGTGGACAAAGACTTAAGGTAAAACTGCTCCTCGTGGTGGAATGCTTCCAAATGCTGGAAGGACTTTAGGAAAGAGTTCACCAAGGAGGCCTGTGATTATAGATCAGTGGGCCTGAAAGAAGTTTCTCCAGGTTCTGGTTGTGTGCTGTATGAGGCATAGGCAGTAATACTACTCTTGTCAGCCATAGTGAAGCCCCAGGCTAGCCAGGATAGGGGACTGACCTTGTACAGGCAGCATGGAGAAACTAAGACAGAGGGTCCTGCCCAAGTGATGGCACTGGGGAGTAGTCACTCAGGTTTATTTCCACCAGGGCCCAAGAAAAGAAATGAAGCCACTTAAAATTCCATCAAGATAGATACCAATATCCAAGATGCTTGGTCTTAGGGGTGTGGGATCCACATGGAGGTTCTTGGTGGGAAGGTGGGAGGTGTTTTCAGCATGAGATAAGGCTCAGGCTGTGAATCACAATCTAGAATCTAAGATAAAAGAAGATACCAGGGCCGGGTGTGGTGGCTCATGCCTGTAATCCTAGCACTTCGGGAGGCCAAGGCGGGCAGATTTCCTGAGCTCAGGAATTCGAGACTAACCTGGGCAACACGGTGAAACCCCGTCTCTACTAAAATACAAAAAATTAGCTGGGTGTGGCGACATGCACCTGTGGTCCCAGCTACTTGGGAGGCTGAGGCAGGAGAATTGCTTGAACCCGGGAGGTGGAGGTTGCAGTGAGCCAAGATCGCACCACTGCACTCCAGCCTGGGTGACAGAGACTGCATCTCCAAAAAAAAAAAAAAGAAGATACCAGAACTCAGTCCTTAAGAAACAAAATTCTGCCAGGCACAGTAGCTCAGGCCTGTAACCCCAGCACTTTAGAGGGGCCAAGGCAGGTGGATCGCTTGAGGCCAGGAGTTCAAGAACAGCCTGGACAACATGACAAAACCCTGTCTCTACCAAAAATACTAAAAACTAGCCAGTCTCATAACCTGGTCTCAAAATAAATAAATAGATTAAAAAAAAAAAATCCTGGGCCTGAACCAAGCTCCAGGCCTCGCTGAGAGGGGAGAAGGACCCCCCAGCCACACAGCCCAAGGCTGCAGAAGCACCTTGGTTAGAGAGTGAGTACCTGGATGTGGCGCGGTGGCTTATGCCTGTAATCCCAGCACTTTGAGAGGCCGAGGCAGGTAGATCACGAGGTCAAAAGATCAAGACCATCCTGGCCAACATGGTGACACCGTCTCTACTAAAAATACAAAAATAAGTTGGGCATGGTGGTGCGCGCCTGTATTCCCATCTACTCAGGAGGCTGAGGCAGGAGAATCACTTGAACCCGGGAGGCGAAGGTTGCGGTGAGCCGAGCTCGCGCCACTGCACTCCAGCCTGGCAACAGAGCCAGACCCTGTCTCAAAAAAAAAAAGTGAGTGCCTGATGATGCCAGATTTTTCATCACCTGAAGTGAACCCACACAACAGAGCTGGGCCATGGGCATCATAAACCCCATTTTGCAGGCTCAGGAGGAGTTTCAGGGAAATCAGAAGACTGGCCCAATCTCTACCAAGTGGTGGATTTAGACCCGGTATGGCTCTGTTCCAAATCTCAACCTTATCCCACTGTTCCACGGGACCTCCCATTCCTGACGGAGCCTGGACACGGGCAAGTGCACAGCCCAGGAGGTTGAGGTTAGAGTGAGCCATGATCACACCACTGCAGTCCAGCCTGGGCAATAGGGCGAGACCCTGTCTCTGAAAAAAAAAAAAAATACTCATTTTGGAAGGAAGTCATTCTAAAATGTTACACTTGTCTTCAGCGTATCTGCAATATAATAAAAATTTTCTGCATAACTGAGGATCATTCACAGAAAGCAATGGCTTTTCTCCAGCAGTGTCTTCTGAAGTTGTAACAGTAGGGGCACGGGGAGCTATTTGCTTTTATGCTAAACGACCTTAGACCACTTATAAAATGCATATGAATGCTTTGAGTGTGTGTGTGTGTGTGTGTGTGTGTGTGTGTTGTTGCCTCCCTGACTACAAGGGGTCACTTGCTACTCTAAATGTGTTTCTAATCTGCTAGTACAGGAACACACATGGACACATTAAAATTGTGAATAAAAGTAAGTGAAAAGTAAGTAGGCCATGACTGAGGACTGGAGAATCTACCCAGTGGGTAAAGCACATGAGTATTCTAGCTGCTGAGGGGTTCTTTCTGCTCCCTCAAACCCTGCACTGTTGCCCTATAGCTGACCTCCAAATAAGTGAAGTGTCACTGCACATTGTTCCCAAGATGATTATTTGCCTCTTCCCCGAAAAGTCCACTGATGATTGCAATATAGACTTTTCCCAATAATAGGAGACAGTTGGAATATTTAAGAGAAAGAAAGCAGCACAGTGTAGAAATGAAAAATCCTTGGCACTGGAAAGATGTGGGTGGGATTCTTGGTGTTCCCATTTTCCAGCTACAAGATCGCTTTAGGGACAGGGCACCCACCTACCATTGTGGGCCTTGGGGTGAAGAAGATGAAAGGAGATAATGCGGCCCAGCGCGGTGGCTCAAGCCTGTAATCCCAGCACTTTGGGAGGCCGACACGGGCGGATCACGAGGTCAGGAGATCGAGACCATCCTGGCTAACACGGTGAAAACCCGTCTCTACTAAAAATACAAAAACTTAGCCAGGCGAGGTGGCAGGCGCCTGTAGTCCCAGCTACTCGGGAGGCTGAGGCAGGAGAATGGCATAAACCCGGGAGGCGGAGCTTGCAGTGAGCTGAGATCCGGCCACTGCACTCCAGCCTGGGTGACAGAGCGAGACTCCGTCTCAAAAAAAAAAAAAGGAGATAATGCAAGAAAGTACTTAGCACAGCATCTGGCAAAAACAGGGCAAGGAAAGGAAATCAAAATGTGTGTCTGGGAGCTTCAGGGTGTCAGGAAAGAGGACGAGGAGGAAAGGGGCAGGAGAAGGAACCTGAAGGGAAAGGGAACTGGGCAGAAAAAGAACAGTAAAAGAGATGTGCTATCTGGGCTTCCTACAAACAGGCACACATCACCCATTGTGTATCTGCCTTGCATAGCCCAGAAGGCCTGGCAGCTACACCAAAAAACATTAACAGTGGATAGGGGAGTTGGGGGGTAGTGGGCACTCCCCCCTCCCCCACCCACTTAAGATTGGGAACTTCGTGTTTGAGATAGCTAGCTTTGTCTCACCCTTTTTTCCTGCTCTGATTATCGTTGGCTTGGTGGGCCTGGCAGGGAGAGAAGGTGGAGGAGTCTCCACGGTGGTTTGCCCCTACCTGAACTTAGTGGCAAAATAAAGCTGCCCAAATGAAGCAGCTGAATTTCCTTCCTCAGAGCCCGCATCTGACTAGTGGCTAGGAAATGGGTACTTTTGTGGCTCTTAGCCCAGAAGAGGCAGGGTGGAGAAGGAAAAGGTGGCAGGTGGCTGACCCTCAGTCCCCACACCTCTTCTGGCCTGTATCTCTTTGTCTTTCAGACCAGCTTTTAGTCTTTCTGCCTCTTGCCCCTGTGCAACCACTGAGCACGCTCTCTGGGCTAGACAGTGTCTGGAAATACAGAGACAAATGATGCATAGTCCTGGCTGCTGGAGAAAGACCTTCACCTCCCCAGGTCCCTGCCTTCTGTCACCCTCAGCTCCCTTACCCACTGACACCTCCTGCAACCCTTGTCTGTTCTGCCCCTTGACTGTTCTGTTGTAACTCAACCAAGCTCTGCAGTGTGTGTGCTCCCAGAGGGAAGCGACACAAAGAAAAGAGGGGGGGCAGAAAGGAGGGAATCCCGCTGACATCACTGCTCATTAGCATGTGTGACCTCATCAGGGGGCGGGACAATTTCCCCAGGTGTCTAGGGGGGAGGGCATGTGTGTGTGGGGGGGTGGTATTTAAAGGGAAAAGCTGACAGTGCTGCTGAGTGAGGGAGAGGGTGCTGCGAGCTGCTGGGCTGCACACGCACACGCACACCGATGCACACGGACCCGGACACAGACATGGACACGGACACAGAAACCACAGCACTCTGCCCCTCTGGCAGCCGCCGGGCCTCCCCTCCAGGGACGCCCACGCCAGGTGAGGGCTAACCTGGGCAGGTTCCAGCTGAAACCATGGGGGTGGGAGCTGAAGCTTTGATGGGGAGGTCAGAACTAGGGGTTGAGGGAGCTTGAGCCCAGTCAGCAAGAGGGGAAGAGCAATTGAGAAAGTGGAGAAAACCCCTGCTCACACAAGGGATTGGGGTTGGGCTAGGGTGGAGGGGAAGAGCTGCCTAAATGCCCCCTCCCCCATCACTCCCAGGGCTTTGCTTGAGAAACTGGTACATGGCCCCTAGCTCAGCCTCATTCCCGAGGCTAGGATGGGCAAGAAGGAAGGGGAGAGGAAAGGGGCAGCCCACAAGCCTGGGAATCACAGGCAGGGGCTACCCTGGGGAACTGTTGTAAGGGTTCTTCTGGCTCCTGGAGGTCCTGGCTGCTGGCCAAGTATTGATCCTGGGCTATTTCCAGCCCCCTTTGTTGTGTCTGTTGTTCCTCCTCCAGTTACCCTGACCCGCGCATTGTCACTCTCCCTTTCGTTCACACACACACACACACTCTCTCTCTCTCTCTCTCTACTTCTACTGCTCTATGAACACAATATTCTCTCCCACTCACAGGGACAGACAGGGATGCAGGATTCTCACACCCAACCACGCAATGAGGGATGCTCACCTACAGGGCCACGGGAAGCAGCGGCAGCCCCTCTCTCTCTCACGCACACACACAGAGAGAGCCCACAGAGCCCCAGCACGCACATCATCTCAAAAAGCAAAGGCCCTTTCCTAGGAAGAGGCTCACTACAAAGTTTTTTACTCTGCTGTACCTACTCCCCAGACACTAGGCAGCAGCTTCAGCTTCTCATCCTCTCTGCTCCTCAGTTTGGGGATGACCAGTGCCGGAAACAGGAGGAGGAAGGGCCTCTTGATGGAAAAAGAGGCAGCTTCCCCAAACCCCCCTCCCACTCCACCCCACAGGGCCAGAGGCCTAGTCTGGGGATGTGCCTGTATATCAGTGTAAAGTGTGAGTGGGTGTGTGAGTGTGCATTCAGGTCCCTTCCCTGCATGGGGCACGTTTTGAATAGGTTGGAGTTGGGACCACATTGGAGAAGCTATCATGTCAATTCCAGTTCAGGCTTCTGGAGACTTTAGTGTAAGAGGTCAGGCCAGACATTCTCAGTTCCTTCTGGGTAATGGTCAAGTGGGTGTAGCTGGGCCTCTGGTACTGGAACGGCCTGGATTGACCCTTCTGCATATGGTTGGGCATATCCCACTCACAGTGTCCTTTTCTTTGCCCTCCCATTTTATTTTAGAAGCAGATACCACACTACTAAAGAAGCCAGAGAAACTGTTGGCAGAGTTGGACCGCAGTGGGCTACCCTCTGTCCCTGGGGCCCCCAGACGAAGAGGCAGTATGCCTGTCCCCTACAAGCATCAGCTCCGGCGGGCCCAGGCTGTAGATGAACTTGACTGGCCACCTCAGGCCTCATCATCTGGCTCCTCTGACTCCTTGGGCTCAGGAGAGGCAGCCCCTGCTCAAAAGGATGGCATCTTCAAGGTCATGCTAGTGGGGGAGAGCGGTGTGGGCAAGAGCACCCTAGCAGGCACTTTTGGTGGTCTCCAGGGAGACAGTGCTCATGAACCAGAGAACCCAGGTATTTGAAGAAGCCCTCCAGGGGTTGAGGGGGCTCTGGGGCCCTGGTCAGGGAAGGAAGTGCTCATGACCTGAGCAGCCCCTGAAGGACAAAGCTTAACAGAAGCTTTTCCAATGCTTTATGTGGCAGCCTCCCTGAAGAGGGGTGGGGTTCCCTGGTGCTGATATCTGAGGTGTCCCTGGTTACCAGGTCTCACAAATGTTGGGAAATCTCCTAATGGACTTTATTCCCTCTCCCTATTTCCCAACAGAGGATACCTATGAAAGACGCATCATGGTGGATAAGGAGGAAGTGACTCTAGTCGTTTATGATATCTGGGAACAGGTGAGAACTAAGATGTGGCTGCCAGCAGGTAATGAAGCTGGGAGAACTGGGGAAGGGCAAAGTGGCTGAAGGTGGGACTGCTGGTCCTGGTTTCAACATGTACTGGAACCTGACCTTTCATTCATATCACTTCAGAAAGCAAAGGCCCACACCACAGTCCATAGCCATTAAGAGTCACAGTCTTTCCAGGATCTTCTGACTCAGAGCAAACTCAGAATGGGAATTTGACAAACCCTGCAGCTCCAAGCTAGGCTGGACACCCTGAAATTGACTCCATCCATAAATGTTTCAGTCTGAAGGAATCTGATGTGACAGGACAAGAGCTCAGGGATCTGGAATATCAGGGAAGGGGGAAAAAAGTGAGGACTTCTGAATATTTGGACATAAAGGTTACTATGTAGAAATAAGAGGCCAAATTACAGACGTGTGAATAATATTCATTTTTGAATCAAGAGCTTAAGCTTAAGAAATTAGGATGGCTACCCTAGTCTAGGATCCTCATAGTACTAACTTCTTCCTCCTCCACAAACACTCTGGGTATGGAGATTCTGCCATTAACTAGCTCTACTATCCTAAGCAGGTGGCTTCTTTCTCCCTCACAGCCCTGTTCCTCCTCTTTGAGGTGTAGGTGCTGGACAGGATCTCCTGTGCCTCCAGCCCTAACGTTCCTCTGCCTGTCTGCAGGGGGATGCAGGAGGGTGGCTGCGGGACCACTGCCTTCAGACCGGGGACGCCTTTCTCATCGTCTTCTCAGTCACTGACCGACGGAGCTTCTCCAAAGTTCCAGAGACCCTACTTCGGCTCCGGGCTGGGAGGCCGCACCACGACCTACCCGTTATCCTTGTTGGAAACAAGAGCGATTTGGCCCGCTCCCGGGAGGTATCACTGGAGGGTGTGTATCCTGAACAGATTCCATACTTGGGATCTCAGGGGAACGCTGTCCCTTCCAGGTCACCTCTTCTCCCTAAGGCCTTTTTACCATTACGGACGCTCTCACTTGCAATCAGACCCAGGCTAAGGGCACACTCCCAATGCCCTACTCGAGGACCCTGAGAATCCCTTCTTGTCACTTCCCCTCACCTCTCCCCTAGGCCTCCTTCTCCCTCTCCTTCGCACCTCCACCTCCCCACCATATGAGCTCAGCCAAGTTCTCTCGGTTGCAAGAGTCACTAGTACCAATCCCTTGCCACCGCACGCCCAGGCCCTCCCTAGACCCACCCTCGCCCCAGGTCCCGTACGGCCTAGCGGGCGCCTGAGCGGGTCCCTTCCTGCAGAGGGCCGCCACCTGGCCGGGACGCTGAGCTGCAAGCACATCGAGACGTCGGCCGCACTGCACCACAACACGCGGGAGCTCTTCGAGGGCGCGGTGCGCCAGATCCGGCTGCGGCGGGGCCGAAGCCGCGCCGGGGGCCAGAGGCCCGAGCCGGGCAGCCCCGAGGGTCCTGCGCCGCCCGCACGCCGCGAGAGCCTCACCAAGAAGGCCAAGCGGTTTCTCGCCAACCTGGTGCCGCGCAACGCCAAGTTCTTCAAGCAGCGCTCCAGGTCGTGTCACGACCTCTCGGTGCTCTGAGCCGCGGTCGCCATGACCACTGCGGTCGCCATGGTCACCGCGCCCTCCGCTCGCCCCCCTCGCCCCGCCCCTCCCCGCCCCCGTCCGGCTTCCCTGGTGGAGGCCGTCTAGGAAACCAAAAACTCCCAGGATGCCCCGGTGTGACCTCGGGGGGCGGCCCGGGGCCGCTGGGCGGTACCTCCACACCCGCCCCCACGCGTTCTCCGGACCTTCGGGCCTCAGGGCGCCTAGAAGGCAAGGACGCAGACCTGAAGGCGGCCGGTGAGCGGGGCGGGTTCTGCTGGGTCGGGAAGAAAAATAATTCTGCAACGTAGTTTGTTTTTTATTAATTCGCGCTTGGCCACCTCATCTGTAAAGAGATTCTAAAAGCGAGATCTGGAAAAGTGCTTTGTAGACTCCTTGACGGAGTTTGCCTCCTTTGTACGCTGCGTGAACATGCCTCACCTTTAAGAGAGTCTTAAAGGTGAAGACACGGAGACCCTTCCTCCAGGGACCTTCCTGAAAACGTTCTGGCTCTCATCTGCTGCCGCATGTGTCCACTTTGCCTTTAAGGAGTTCTTAAAGGCAAGGGCCTGGAAGCCCTTGATTCACTTGACTTACTAGTCCACCACGGCACTTCCCCTTTAAGATTATTAAAGGTAAGGGGTGGACAGACTTTCTGCATTCAGAAGCTGAGCAGTGGCAACCCCTTTGGGCCAGGGCCCAGGGGGCACCAGCAAGAGGCCACCCTTTCCCTTTTCAATAAAGAATTTTTGTACTGCATCTGTTCACGTTTGACTCTGTTCAAAGAGTCTGTGGGGGAGGAAATGGGTGTTGATGGAAACTGCTATTACCCACCAGAAAACTCAGGCCTAGAGGAGCAAGGAACCTAACTCTCTAAGGAGGCTCTGGAACTGACTTGACCTGGGATAGTCCGTGTCAAAGGGCCACAGGCCCTTACAGATAATCGGGCCCACTTCTTTTGCCGATGAGAAACAGGCCTGGAGAGGAACAAGGACCTCCTAGAAGTCATTTGTAAATTAGTGACACAGTGGGACCAAATCTCTAGACTCTGAGCCTCATCTCCTTACTCCACTCTATCCTGCAGGGAACAGGCTAGAGGCTACATTTAGCTCCCAGAGGTACTCAGCTTTGACTTGGGCTGGTTCAAAGTGGGGCCCATATCGCGTGCGTGATGGGGTCTCTCTGTGCCTCCTCTGGCAGGGCTCCACAGCCCCAGCTGTCACCTGCAAAGCCCGTGTGAGTACTGAAACTGTCACTGCCTCCCCTGGGGACGCCCACGCCTGCTGCTGCCTGAGCCATGAGTTTGAACAAAGGGAGCAGAGGCAGCAGCTCCCCTCACCACCCCTAGACACAATACAGCTACCTGAGCACCTGAGGGCCAGCCTCCATTCCACCCCACACAGCCTCCCAGAACTTGATGGAAAGAGGGTTGCAATGCTTCCTGAGTCCCTGCACCTGGGGAGGAGCCAAGGGGACCAGCCCAGCATGGGTAGTTATAATAAGATGAATAATGGCACTATCCTTAGGACTTTATACACTTTATATGTTAATTCCTTAAAGACTATATAAGGTCCAGCCTGGGAAACATAGTGAGAGCCAGTTTCTACAAAAAATATAAAAAATATACAGGCATGGTGGCTCACACCTGTAATCCCAGCACTTTGGTAGGCTGAGGCAGGAGGATCATTTAAGTTCAGGAGTTTGAAACCAACCTGGGCAACATGGCGAAACTCTGTCTTTACAAAAAATTAGCTGGGCGTGGTGTCATTCGGATAGTCCTAGCTACTTGGGAGGCTGAGCTGGGAGGATTGCTTGAGCCAGGAGATTAAGGCTGCAGTGAGCTGTGATTGTACCACTGCACGGCAGCGTGGGCAACAGAGCAAGACCCTGTCTCAAACAAAAATTTAAAAAAATTTAAAAAATCAGTGCACCTGTAGTCCTAACTAGTTGGGAAGCGGGAGGATTACTTGAGCCTAGGAGTTCGAGGCTGACGTGAGCTGTAATCACTGCATTCCAGCCTGGGTGATAGAGCCAGAACTTGTCTCTTTAAACAAACAAACAAAAAGATAATCCCAGGTGCGGTGGCTCACGCCTATAATCCCAGCACTTTGGGAGGCTGAGGCGGGAGTATCGCCTGAGGTCAGAAATTCAAGACCAGCCCACCCAACCTGGCGAAACCCCGTCCCTACTAAAAATACAAGAAAATTAGCTGGGCATGATGGTGTGTGCCTGTAATCCCAGCCACTCGGGAGGCTGAGGCAGGAGAATTGCTTGAACCCAGGAGGTGGAGGTTGCAGTGAGCCAACATCGTGCCATTGCACTCCAACCTGAGCAACAGAGCGAGACTCTATCTCAAACAAACAAACAAAACAGCCGGGCGCGGTGGCTCAAGCCTGTAATCCCAGCACTTTGGGAGGCCGAGACGGGCGGATCACGAGGTCAGGAGATCGAGACCATCCTGGCTAACACGGTGAAACCCCGTCTCTACTAAAAATACAAGAAAATTAGCTGGGCGAGGTGGCGGGCGCCTGTAGTCCCAGCTACTCGGGAGGCTGAGGCCGGAGAATGGCGTAAACCCGGGAGGCGGAGCTTGCAGTGAGCTGAGATCCGGCCACTGCACTCCAGCCTGGGTGACAGAGCGAGACTCCGTCTCAAAAAAAAAAAAAAAAAACCAAACCAAACCAAACAAAAAAACTATATAAGGTGTTACTACCTGTTTAACAGTAGAAGAAACGGAGTGTAAGTAACTTGCCTGAGGTTACCCAGTAAGCAGCAGAGTTGGGATTCTATGTCTGCTTGATACCTTTTTTTTTTTTTTTTGTGATGGAGTCTTGCTCTTATCGCCCAGGCTGGAGTGCAATGGCGCGATCTCCACTCACTGCAACCTCCACCTCCCGGGTTCAAGTGATTCTTCTGCCTCAGTCTCCTGAGTAGCTGGGATTACAGGCACCTGCCACCACAGTTGGCTAATTTTTTGTATTTTTAGTAGAGATGGAGTTTCACCGTGTTAACAAGGCTGGTCTTGAACTGTTGACTTCAGGTGATCCACCTGCCTCAGCCTTCCAAAGTGCTGGGATTATAGGTGTGAGCCACCGCACCTGGCTCTGCTTGATACTTAATGGTGATTTTATCCAGTTTTGCATCTGAGGCTCCCTTTCCAATAAGGATGGGAGGAAGAGAAAGAGGGGACAGCAGTCAAGATGCAGGGACACCATGGGCAGGGCCATGTGCAGCGGCTGTGGTGAAAGGTCCAGAGAAATTACATGCCTGTAGTGGAGTAAGCAAGTTCTAAATTCTGAGGACCATGAACAGAGGCAGCTCAAATTTTAAAATGCAGGAAAACACACTGGGCCCATTAAGGGACCAGATGGCTGTACAGTTGGGTTGAAACCTCAGGGACATGAAGAGGAGGGGTAAGAGATGAGCATGGAAAAGAAGGTTTGGAGTCCCACTGTAAAGGATCTTAAATGCCAGGAAAAAGAGTTTGTGCCCAACTCTGTAGGCAGGGAGAGTAACTGCAGGTCTCTGAATGTGGAAGTCATGATTAGGATGGTCCTTTGGGAAGAGGAGGCTGGGAGAGGTGTGTATGGATTGGAGCTGCAGAGGAAGTCCTGAGGAGCTGAGTTTAGGGACCAGTAAGAGTGATACATATGGAGGATAATGAAAGGCCACCCTGAGGAGGGTGGCAGTGGGAAAGGAAGGAGGCATGGGTTTGAGGGTCAGAATTAATGGGACTTGGCAACTTAGTGGATGGTGTAAAGAGAGGAAAAAGTTGTAGGTGGTGAGAGGATGGTGAGGAACTTGGAGTTAGGGGGCAAAGGAGGTAGTGAGAGTAAGGAGCTCCATTTTGGAGAAACTGAATTTGAGATGCTAGAAGAACATCTGTATGGGGTTTCAGCAGCTCTCTGGAGCTGAATCCGAAATTCAGAACAAGTTGGGACAAGAGAAACAGATTTGAGAATAATTACCATAAAGATAGTAGTAGAAGAGCAAGGGGAAAAGGTGACCAGTGCAGTCACACAGGACCCTAAGCTTAGTTTAATGTTCTGCTGTTGTGTTCTTAAAATTCTTCGAACGGCCAGGCGCGGTGGCTCAAGCCTGTAATCCCAGCACTTTGGGAGGCCGAGATGGGCGGATCACGAGGTCAGGAGATCGAGACCATCCTGGCTAACATGGTGAAACCCCGTCTCTACTAAGAAATACAAAAAATAGCCGGGCGAGGTGGCAGCGCCTGTAGTCCCAGCTACTCAGGAGGCTGAGGCTGGAGAATGGCGTGAACCCGGGAGGCGGAGCTTGCAGTGAGCTGAGATCCGGCCACTGCACTCCAGCCTGGGCTACAGAGCGAGACTCCGTCTCAAAAAAAAAAAAAAAAAAAAAATTCTTCGAACAAGGAGCCCTGATTTTCATTTTGCAAGGGGATCCATAATTATACTAAGGGAGAAGGTACAGTACTGGCTGAGATCCTTACCCCAGACTACTGATGGAGTCTGTGTTTTGTGAAATGGCACATACAATCTGATGTATTTGTGTAGTCATGCATGTGTCTGAGAATAGGGTTCATGAATTTCATCAGATTCACAAAAGGGTTTGTGACAGGCCAGGCTCAGGGTGGCTCATGCCTGTAATCCCAGCACTTTGAGAGGCCAAGGCGGATAGATCACCTGAGGTCAGGAGTTCGAGACCAGCCTGGCCAACATGACAAAATCTCGTCTCTACTAAAAATACAAAAATTAGCTGGGCATGGTGGCACATGCCTGTAATCCCAGCTACTCGAGAGGCTGAGGCAGAATTGTTTGAACGCAGGAGGTGGAGGTTGCAGTGAGCTGAGATCCTGCCACTGTACTCCAGCCTGGGCAACAGAGTGAGATTCTGTCTTTTAAAAAAAAAAAAAAAAAAAAAAAAGGGTGGTGCTGGCTGCCTCTGGGAAGGGGACTGGGTGAGTAGAAGACCGGGATGGGATGGGGAGCTGACTTTTCATTGTATGCCCTTTTTCTTTTTTACTTTTTCTTTTCTTTCTTTCTTTTTTTTTTTTTTTTTTTTTTTTTTTTGAGACAGAGTTTCACTCTTGTTGCCCAGGCTGGAGTGCAATGGCGCGATCTCACCACAACCTCCGCCTCCTGGGTTCCAGCAATTCTCCTGTCTCAGCCTCCCGAGTAGCTGGGATTACAGGCGTGTGCCACCATGCCTGGCTAATTTTGTATTTTTGGTAGAGATGGGGTTTCTCCATGTTGGTCAGGCTGGTCTCAAACTCCTGACCTCAGGTGATTCACCTGCCTCAGCCTCTCAAAGTGCTGAGATTACAGGCCTGAGCCACCGCGCCGAGTCTGTATGCCCTTTTTCTACATTTGGAACTTTTTTTTTTTTTTTTGAGACAGAGTCTTGCTCTGTCGCCAAGGCTGGAATGCAGTGGCACAATCTCAGCTCACTGCAACCTCCACCTCCTGGGTTCAAGCGATTCTCCTGCCTAAGTCTTCCAAGTAGCTGGGATTACAGGTGCCCGTCACCATGCCCAGCTAATTTTTGTATTTAGTAGAGATGGGGATTTCACCATCTTAGCCAGGCCGGTCTCGAACTCCTGACCTCGTGATCCACCAACCTCGGCCTCCCAAGGTGCTGGGATTACAGATGTGAGCCACTGCGCCCGGCCTACCTTTGGAACTTTTAACTATGTCGTTTAGTACCTCTTCAAAAATGAAACAAAATAGGCTGGGCACGGTGGTTCACACCTGTAATCCCAGCACTTTGGGAGGCCAAGGCGG